TCAGCCATAGATCTGCATCAGAAGACAGACACAAAAAACACCTACTGCTCCAGAACAAAAGCAGTAACGTCTTCTGAAGCAACCACAGTCTTTCAGAGAAGATGGGCAACTAGAAGAAAAACAAACAAACAAAAAAGGATATTCCTAGGTTTTCATAGGATAGAAACCACCTGACTGCTAACATGATTAGCACCAGGCAGCTTGCTGCACTGAATGGACCAAGCATTTATATTTGCAGAGTAGATTCACCGAAGGGCAGAAGCTACAACCCCTCAATGAGATTTTATCTTGTTACAAGGAGCTTATCCTCCAGGGATGACCTCACAGTGCTTAGCACCCTCAGAAGCTGGGAAGGCTGAGAAGGGAAGTTTCTCCTCCATTGAGAAGATCTGCTATATTTCAGGCACCAAAGCCTGGCTCTGGTTTTCAGATGGTTGCAAATGTGACAATGGAAACTTTACCCAAAACAGTGTGTTTTTGTAGGCACACATGAGGGGAAGTCTGGGTGGAACAGCTCCCAGACAGCTGCTAAGAAAATACTGACAGAAAGGGTGGAGAAAAGGAAGTGAAGCAATGCTAGAGCTCCATCCAGGCAGCAGCTTGGTTTAACCCTTCTGGTCATCAGCTGCAGGAGCAGCTGCCACCATCAGCAAATTGCACAGCCATGAGCTCTCAGAGTAAGTGGGATCAGCCTTTGTAGTACCACTTGTTGGAACTTTGCTGAAAAAACATCTTCATGGTTGACTACAAGCATTGCACCATGCAGAACATCACCATACTCTCAGCCTGATGGGTGCCCAGAGGGCAGCAGCAAGTCATTAGTAGTGTGAAAGAGGCCTGCAAGGATCAGAAACAGTGAAGGAGACAGGCTTTTGGTCACTGTGCTGATTTAGCCTGCTTGGTGACAACAGAGCAGCGGGTTTCCTGCTGTGTTGGATTATTGCTAAGACAGGACTGAAGTGAGGATAAAAACCTAAGGGTAGTCAGCATGGAAAGACTTCCTTGCAGATGGCAAATTCACAGACTCAAAGCCATCCAGCTTGTCTCAGGTGCTGCTAAGCAGGCTATGAGATACCACGTGCCACAACATCCCCAATTGTTCATGGTGCTCACACCCCACCTCCCTCTTCTGACACATACCTCAGTTTTCACTCATTTAACTTCAAGGGATTGTTTTCTCCTCTAAAGCCAGGTCATTTGGATGTAGGATAAGCCCTTTGGCAGGAAAGCATCCTGGGAGCAGTACCTCACACACCAAGCAGGGAGTTGCAGGCTCACGCCGAAGCCTCAGGTGACAGCATTGGGTGCACTGTGTAACAGCAACGTGATCAGCGCTCACACCTCCAGAAACACCAGCTGCTGGGCTACAGGAAGGGAGAAGGTAAAGGATGAGAGACCTGTTCTGGGAATAAGCTGGCCTCTCTCTTCCCTGACGCACTACAAACATTCAATTAGCTCTTCAGCCACAGAAACTGCATGGCAAAAGAGGAAGCAATTTATATTCATCTCCGGTAGGAAAGAACGGGGGATTGAAGAGTGATTCTTGCCTGCAATGGCAGTTTCTCCACAGAGCTAGAAATAGATCCCAGCTTTCCTGGAAACACACATAAGGTTTTCTAAAGCAGGCTACATCGAGGTTAAATATATAGAAGAAAATCAGTAAGAGAATATTCTTTTTCATTACACTTTGTTCTTAAAGCTGACCGGCATACATGATTTGAGAAGCATTTGCACTGTAGCAGGAGACAAGTGATTTCTAAAAGCAAGGGAAGAAACGTAGCACTACTTTCGTGTCACAACAAACCTTTGCAAACTGATCTGTTTCCCTCCTCTCCTGCTCACTCATGTTTCAAATAACCCTTTGCTTAAGAGCAGATCTTTAAAGACATTATGCAAAGCGGTAAGTACCAAGAGACTTAGATCACAGTTGGATTTTATTTTCTAATTAGCTGACAAACACATGTAACCATTATGCAGGCAGAGGATTCTCCTGGCCATCTCACTTCCTGGCCAGAAGAATCAATACTACAGCGCTCTGGTGCTTTTGTCTGTTCAGTTATGAACTCAACTGCTGTATCTGCCCAATTCCAGCTCCCCCACAGGAAGGGAAGTGGGCAGAGCGTGAGGATTCTTAACTTTTACATTTAACGTGGTTCATGCTCATAGCAGCCAAAATCAGAGATTCATAGAAATATTAAAAAGTCATTTGCAGCAGCCTCCAGGCACAACCTGCTTCCCCAAGGGACCAATCTCAGCACAAAGAACTGTTGCTAAAACTTGAGTGAGGTCATACATCTGGCAAATATAATGGCAACAAATTAAACTACTTTTTTAAGAACTTGGCTTGGCTGCCTGTGTGCCTTGGAGATCCAAAACAAAATATTTAACTCTTTGTAGCCTCCTCCTGCAGAGCTTGCCACAAGCAGTTTTCATGCTAAATCACATCCTCACACGGTGTAGAAGCGATGTCAGGCTCTTTGTTCACAGCTGATCCACTGCTTCTCGAGTTAATGGCTTTGCAAATCAGTTACTGTAGATATTTACCGTAGTTACTGTAGATATGTAAAATAAAATTAAAAAATATATATATCACAAATGTAAAAGCAGAAGTGGATTCAACTCATTCTGGAGGCTATCCTGACCTCAGTGTATGGAAACGTGTTTCACGTTGGATGGAGCTAAGCACAGAAGCCAGGAAAAGATGGACAATAGGATTTGGGCTCCTCAAATGTTTTTTTGAGCTAATTGCTCAAGAACAATAACTTAAAGTGTTGTGCTTTCCACATCTCATCTGCCTCCCAAGTAATACCCCTGTATTAGAAGCACTGGTACATTGTAAGTCCTGATATTCAGCTCAAGGTAAGAGGCAATAGGAAGGGAACACTGAAAAGAAAGCATGTTGCCAAGATACGGGACAAGGAAATGATTGAGATGGAGAGTACCATCAGAAGAAATCCCCATCTTACCACCTAAATCACACGGAACTTGATAGATTCCCCCTTCCCTTAGCTCTTCACACTCACCCATGGCACATCACTTTTACAAGAATAGGTTGCACTGATCAAATGAATACTTCTAAGAAGCTGAGTAAGGAAAAGCAACTTTCCCTGCATCCCACTAACTTGTCCTTCAGCACTTGAGCATCTCATCTGTTTTACAAGCACAATTATCTTTCAAATGGATTCACTTAATGTCTAAAAGGAAAAAGCATCTTTATCAAATGTGCCCGAGTCATCTGTACTTTATATAGTACTTTAGGGAGAATGGCAAATCACTTCTGTGGTGTCTAAGACATTAGAAATTACAAATTAAGAGAAGTTTAAAAATCGATGACTGCTGGAACAGCTCATTTTCACATCCTCTCCATACCCACACCTCAAAAGCCAGCTCACAGCACTGGGAATCAGGTTGACAAATGAAGGTTTTGTAGCTCATTTTTGTCACTGCTTTAGTGGCAGGACAGGCACACACATCTGAATCCCCTCCTCTCAGCCAGCCCATCACATCGGTTCATCTCAATTAAAACAGTTACAGTCTCTCTCTCTCTCCGTGGAAAGCCACTGAAAGCTTATAGCAACAGAATGGAAGTTTTTCAGTGAAGTGAGTCCATTATCGTAATCTGACAGAAAATAACATTACTCAGACTGCGAGGTTAGAAACAGAAAACAATCATGTGATAGAACAAAGAGAAACTCAGATTTATAATCCACCCAAAAAGCACGGAAATGAGGAAGCTTCACGCAAAAGAGAATTAATAAAAAATAAAATATAAAAACAGTCACAATGCCAACAGGGGCTTCCTTAAAGACGTGGAAAGCAGCAGAATGGAAAGAAAACCCCTTGGCGATGGCAGGGGATGCAAACAGCCTTGTCCACATGGGAAGAGGATTAACACAATCCAGACGCAGTCCAGTCCAGACTGAACAAGAACAGGTGCAAAAAACTGGTCTAGCCTTAAGGTCTGTAAAGCTGTGTGTGAAATAAGGGTGCCAGCCAAGTCTCAAGCATCTGCGATGCCCACAGCACATCTGGAGATGGGGGCTTTGGAAGCTCTGGAGTCTGGCAAACAAGTGTGACTGTCACGGATAGGGAGAGAAGCAAACTCCCAACGGTTCAGAAAGTCGTGGGGAGGGTTTGGTGAACTCTGAGACACTCAAGTTCCTATAGCTCATTTCTTGAGAATGTACATAAGGGTTTATTACAAGAAAGGAGTTCTGCAGTGTGTGTTAGCAAAAGTGATCTTGTAGAGCAGTATCTACTAGAAGTCCAAATTCTTTTGCAGCTACATACTGAACACCTGCTGAAGACCTGGAAGTCTTAGAAGCCTGATGCAGGGAAGGGGGTGAACGATGAGCTATTCAGCTGTAAAATCATCTGCAAAATGACTGAAAATTAAAGGCAATCCAGTGTGAAAAGAGAAAAGGTTCCTGGCTGCAGCCAGTGTGTTGCTATCTGGTTGCCTTTTCCCTCCCTCTACCCTTCCTTTAAATTAAGTAAATGGACAGATAGAAAACAAAAGCTGCCTCACAATCCACCCAGCATCTGACCTAGCACAGCTAGGGCCTCTCCTCTAGCCTCAGCACAGCAAAGTTTTCCACAGACTGCATGAGGAAGCAGGTTAAATCCCACCACTGGGCTAGCCTCTGCACAAAGTCAGCATTTAATCCACATCATCAGATTTGCCAGGCACAAACTGGAACTTGGTGAGGCAGACCATTCAACAGGTGCTAACTAGGATCTGTGATCTGAGAACAGAGGTGAGCTCCCACTCACCTCTCCCAGGATATTCTGGGAGATTTTGCTTGTGCCATATAGCCAGCAACAAACCATTTGGCAGCTCTAGAACATTTAAACACTTTCACTGAGCAGCAGCTAAGGCAGGAGAGATGAAACCTTTTCACAGATGGTCCTCAGACCCCTCACTGGTTCCTACAGTACCTGGAAAATACAAGAAATCACAGAAGTCATCCATACTTATAAATAAAAATCTTTTATTTTAGTAAAGTTACAAAGCTTTGTATTTACAGATACAGTAACTGTACATATGAATTAAAAATTGATTACTCTCCAAATCATTAAAGTCACCCAGTCTGTTAGGAATACAAACCCCTGCAACCTCCAAGAGCCTTCAGCAGTGCTCCTCTTTCACAAACTCAATTCTCTTTGTTCTCAATGATTTTCTGCTGGTTCTCCAGAAACTCCTTCAGCTTGTTCTCCGTGAGGGTCAGCCTCTGCTCCAGGATGGAAACTGTCTGCAAAACAAAAGGAGCCACTCAGAGAGAAGAGCTATGTGCTGTGTTGCCAGAGGGCAATGGAATGCCATGTTCAATGAAGTTCTCTGAGCTATTTCAGAGCTGTAAAACCAGGGTCAAGCGAGAAACCCTTCCAATGTAAGGCAGCACAGTGGGGTGATGGAGGTGAATTAAAACTCAAAAGGGCAGCACATACCTCAACGTATGGCTTAAATATCTCTGTGCAATCCAGTTACCTCACAAAGGGATTGTTATAACCTCCTCCTAAAGCTGAAGTCATCACGGACAGAGTATGCTGAAAAAACATTTTAACCATGAAGCAATAAAAGCCTCTCTGAAAACCCTTTAATGGACCATTCTTAGGTAACCAAGAGACCTATCTGTGGGAAACCACTGTCAGATTCCAGAGACACTGGAATAACTGATAATAGGCAGTAATTACATTTAATGCTTTAATACCCATAAACAGCAGTCAATAGCTTCATATTCTGAGCATTTTTACTGCCATCAATAACATACCCTGTCAAAAACAAAGGATGTTCAGAACCTCAGACTTTAATAAAGTAAATCAAACAAACTTGGGCTATTTGTATGGAAGTTATAAATAAAAAAATCTTTAAATAGCACATTTCATAAGCACATGACTAAGTGCTTGACAAAAGAAAGCAGGTCTCTTTATCTCCATTTTATTACCGGGGAAACTAAAATGCAAAGAAAGGAAATAGTTTGGCTAAGGTCACTTGATAGACCAGGAAACGTCTCCTGCAAAACCATTTGGGAAATGAGAGGAACAGCTGGAAGGGATGAAGTGAAAACACAGGCATGGTGAAAGCACAACACCAAGCACTACTACAAAGCCATCTCCATCAGCCACACTGCAACACCTCATCTTGACAAAGTCAGAAAGGGTTTTGCATCGTAAGATTCACCATAATACACTTCTTTTCTCCCTCCAAACACAGCTCAAGTCTTAGCTGAGGCCCCAGGCAGCATATCAGAGCTAATAGGAGCCAACCACACTGCTACACTCAGCGCAGTGGATCAAAGCACAAACAAAGCAGACTTCAGAACATGTTGAATTTGAGGAAGAGTTGCAAGGAAGATCTTGTCTGGAAGATCTTAACACTTTCACGTAATTTTCATTCCAATAAATTTGTAGTGAGCACTGTTTTGCAAACTAGAAAAGGAAAAAGGAGAAAGATAGGAGATGCACTACATTCAAAGAGTTAATGAGCACAGACCATTTTGAATACACAGTGCTCAAAATACACAGTCATACTATGGGAAAGTACAAAAATGCCATTACTGATAGCATACACACACCACACAAAGAGAGAGAGTAACTTCCACACAAAAAGGTTACTTCATTTCCAGTTGACAGTTTTACAATGTTTCTGTGGCCTTGCTGGGAAGCAAATTAAACCACACCTACTCAACTGGTGCTGCTTTTCAGCAGGTAATGAGCCAACAACCCAAGGAGACAAATGCCATCAGTCCGGGTTGACCAGACGCAGCTTTGCACTCAAACTGTTTCCTATGGCAAGATTATGGCAGGGAGGTGGTTGAGTCACCATCCCTGGATGTGTTTAAAAACCGTTTGGATGTGGTGCTCAGGGACATGATTTAGTGGAGGGTTGTTGGGGTAGGATGGTCAGGTTGTGGTTGGACTCAATGATCTTGAAGGTCTTTTCCAACCTGAGCGATCTTATGATTCTATGACTTTAGGTTCTCACAGTGTCAGAAGTCTTACCCATGTGTGTACTGCACACTGGAAAATGGTGAGGAGAGCCACATAAAAGAGACAGCATCATATTTACTTTTTAAGGTCCAGAGAATATTCACCTTCATCCTCCCCTAAGCTGACACATGAAGCAGTCTTATTTGCTTACGTGATGATAAACTTCCCATCTCGCCCTGTGTTACTGTAGTGATGGTGGCCCAAGCACAAAAGCTGAAACTGTTGCAGGATTATCAACATCTTTTCTTTAATTCAAATTAAACACTTTCAGTGGAGACAGGACCACACAGCTGAACACTTCTGTCAGCCTCAAGGCAGAGGCTTTTGCAGAGCCCTTTAGGGCAATCCAGCTGGCCTCTTTTGAGAATTACAGATAAGCAGAGCCCAGCTAAATGCCAGCAAAAACCAGTTCCTCCACTGCCCAAGGAAAACCCGAGCAGCAGAGTTCAGAGCAAAGGACATTTGTGTTCCTCAGGTGACACTCCTCATCATACTCTGTAGCACAATTTGGAGAGCAATTGGACAAGTCCCTGTGGTTAACCACAAGAGAGAGCAGTCCAGACAGAAGGCCAGTAATTAACTAAAACCAAGTACTGAGCATGGAACTGAGAGAGAAGCAGACAAGAGTATAAAAACATAAATAACGCTGTGCCCACTGGGCTACAGGATGCCTAACAAGCTGGGGATGAGACAGGGTTTGACTGAATAAAGGACAGAGGACGTAATACTGCTCTGGTTGATCACTGCAGGACCCTTTAAAACATTTTTCTGCACAATGTTACTGATATCAGGTACTGGCTGTGCCTACAGATAATACAGCCAAACACCAACCTCAACGTACAGGTGCTCTTGCAGGCAAAACGTTACACACGTTTCCTCTATTCCTGACATCATGAACCATATCATAAAACCCCCTTCTCCACTGAATGCAGAAGTAGTTTCCTAGTTTTACTTCCATAAGAAGATTCCTAAAGTTCACTCCATCCCTAATGGTTGTCAGTTTTCTGCTGAGTTATAATGCATCAAATAAGAAGAGCGTTATTTCCACCTCTTCAGTTTTTTCTTTTCTATCTGACATGTCAATTTATGAAGACAGCATTTTCCTTTCAACATATAAAAAAAAACACATTTACCTGCAAAAGAACAGGCAGCAAATGCAGAAATGTTAGAATGGGAAAAACTATCAGACAACCTAATAACAATTATAAAATAGGGATTTCTAATCACAAAGCATGAAGACACTGGAATGATTACATCTCTGTGCTATGAATACATCATTCTTTAATTCTTTGCATCACCTTATAATGATGTTAGGAGTGTAATATCATGTTTTAAACTTCTAGGCGTACGTTAAGTAACAATGAGAGTTGAAGAGGCTTTATGTTGCTTACCTGTAGCAGCACTCTGGGCAGGACACTATAAGCAGCTGTACTTATTCACAATGTTGATGGCAAAAGCTAGGACATTCAATCCCGTGGCTATTTAAAGCTTCTCCTTGCTCACAATGAAGCTCAGAAGTTTCTTACAGTCCTAATTCATCTGGGAACCAACTATCTACTTATCTTATGGGGAAACCATAAGAACTATCTACTTATCTTATGGGAAAAAAAAAAAAAAAACTCCAAAAACATCTTTCAGTATCTTTACAGATTCCAAGCAACAGCCTCTCCTTCTCTTCACCTTATGGGACCAGCAGAGAGGGAAGGCAGTGCAGCACAGAAGAGCAGAACACAAAGGGGATGGATGGCATGTGGGTTTGCAGAATGAGACAGGTAAGGCCTGACCTGGACTTGCAGGCTTAATTGCTCAGACTCCTGCCATGCAGATGGCATGCACGCTGATTTGTTTGAAGAGTCCAGCTGTGATTCCCTATGGGTTACCCAGCTTTCTATCAAAATGGGCCCCAAAGAGGCCCAAAAGTATAGAAAGTAAATTGCATTACAAAAACACTGCATCAAAGGGGGGCAGCAGGGTCCCTCCTCAACAAATTATTATTATTATTATTATTTTGCTGAGTCAGTATTGTGCTTTGAGTGGGTTCAGTGGTACCTATGCTTTCTCTAAACAAATCCAGTGAGTAAAATAAACCAGCAAAGAAACAGTTCTCATCCACGTAGCCATACATCTGCATGTTTACAGGAAAAAACACCTTCTCCCACAGATGATAGTTTAAAATACGAGACGTAAACTGCAAAAATGAAGAGGCTCATGGGAGAACTTGAGCAGCAAGTCACATTAAAGTTCAAACACAAACCTATCTGGTGAGAAGCACCATTTCCACCCACTGTACAAAGCTTTGCCCTGACTTGCTGCCAGCCTCCCTTCCATTTCAGTCACCATATCCAGAGGAACCCAAAAGATGCTCCTGCTATTAGTAAGTATAGTTAAAGAAAACTAGGCTGCCCTCTTTATGCACAAATTATGCCCTAGCAATGTTAGGACTAGTTAGGACTGGAACCTGCTACCAACACTCAGAATCTCTGAAGCATTCTTAGCAAAAGCTAGTACTTTAGACTAACCAAGGGAAAGATAAATAAAGCTCACATCCAGTAGCAGAACAAGACATGAAGCCTTCACTGGTATCAGTGCATTAAGGAGCAAACAAATGCATGTGGTGCTCTTTGTATGGCAGGACTAGCCTTATCTTATACCAATCAAAGCCTTCAACTCAGAGACCAAATACACTAGTAACTTTTCACATGAAAAAGATGATAGTGTCTTGTCCTTTCAAATTAAAACAAGATCTGCTAAGCCAGAGGTATTTTAAACAAGCTCCATATAATAAGCTCCATCATCCTACTTATTTTGAACACAAGCTCTAAGGTAAACTCACACAGCCTGTCTGCACCAAGGATCTCACAGCAGCCAGATTTAACGGCAGCACGTCGATTATTTCAGAATGAAAATGTTTCATTTAATCATTCTGTCTTCACTCCCTCAATATTTCTTTAACACAACCTCATGAATTTTCATACTTATTTTGAAACACTAATTCCACAAAATTCTCTATCTGCTACTGCAGAACACTCAGCCCTGCTGCAGGCAGACAGGGCTGTACAGGTCTCAGCTGCTGTACAGCCAGGGTTAGGAAGGCCCACAAACACACTGGATGAGCTTTTCTAAATACGTGTTCCTTCCACCTCCCGACACTCCACTTTCTCAGATGCCTGAATCAGTTCATTGCTCCTTAGTGAAAGAGTACAGAAGCAGCTTTGGTGGTCCTGCAGTGGGCTTGGTACAGCGACAACGACAGCGTTACCAC